ATCAAAATCAAAGACAGCAGGCAAACCTAGTAGCATGTGGTGAATCATGCAAACTGTAGAAAACCCTACCTGGTTAACAAACCTCTTTTTTAACTGGTTAGTCAGAAGAACAGCATCAACCTGCAAAAGGATAAAAATCAGTCCTGCTACCCTTGTGAAACAATACAGAAACTAGTAGGACAGTAAACAATGAATCAAAACTGAAAAACCTACCTGCTCATTCTTGCTTCCTTTCTTCACAAATTCTAGCTCGAGTGTAAGCAATGCAAGGTTAAAATTATCTGGAGGAACAAATCTAATATACCAAAGGTCAGTCAGAAATTAGTAGTGGACTGGAAACCAAAATAATAATAACAACGATAAGGGTGTTAGATTATTGACCTGCTTACAGATATGTAGTCACCAGTAGAAACTTTTGCATGCCGGCGTTGGATGGCATTCAGGGCAATGTAGTCACTACCTACGCCTTCATGAGGAGTAAATCTAGGTCAAGGCCTCAAAACAACCAACAACTTTGAGTATAATTTCCCAAATTTAATCATTACAAAAGAAACAAGTTTCCAAAAAAAATGATAAGGGTTCAAAAAAGAATTAAATTTACATATCAAATAAAAAAATAGGCTAAGGAAGTAACACTGCATAAATTCTACTTTCCTATTTTCTGCTTGTAATAATATTTCAGAGCATTAGTTTCTACTTCAAACCTCAGATTTTCTCACAATAAAAAAGATAGTTTATAGTCTAAACGAATTTTTGACATCTAAACTGATCGCCGGAAACAGAGTATCATCATATTTATCATCATTAATGCTGCAAATTATCTACAATTTTTTTTTTTTAATTCAAACTCTAATGAAATTTAAATAAGAATAAAAATCACTCCTAAAAAAATTATCAATCGCATTTAACACTGAGCTAGATGAAAACAACTAAGAACAATTAACTAAGTTCTCAATTAAATGCGAATGGTATGCGAAATCGGTATAAAACTGTAAATTATATGGAATCGAAGAGAACAGAGATAAAGGATATGAAAGAGAAAGAATGAAGACGTCGCCAACATTAGCGAGGAAGAGCCCGGAACCAGGGACCCTGAAGTTCGGATGAACAGCCGGCGAGCAGTAGGCGAGATTGGTCAGGGCAAGATCTGGCGCCGGCGTGCTGACGACGATCTTGTTCGCCATTTGCTTTTTTGCTACTTCGTGCAGATCCGTTTAAGTTGGAAGGCGCTTGCTGATGGAAATCACCCTGAATTTGGGGCGGGAGAGACGTCAAAGTAGATCTCAGGCACGGCATGACTGGGGAAAATCGCGCGAGCTCTTGCTTTCTAGGAAATACTTGCGCGAGCTAAAAATTCTCCTTTTAATAGCGCGCGCTTCCAAGGTAGCCTTAATGGGCCTGGCTAGCCCAAAACGACAACCATTGAAGACGTTTTATGTTTACTTCAGCTTTGTGCTTCTGCTGCTACTCCATCGGGAACCGCAGAAAACAACCCCTAGTCTAATATCAATCGTCAATTGCTCCACATGTACTTCTGCTATTTCCCATTCAAAACTACAAGAAACTACCCCTATAATCTCTAGGGGTAGTTAAATGGGTGGTAATTTAGATTTTGGATGCAAGGAAGGGAGGAAGCTCGGACCGACTCTACGATAAAGAATCCATCGTACAATTTTCAAATCCTCTGCAGTTTCCAAGCTAGAAGGTAATCGAATTGAATTCGAAGGTGGGTTTTTGAATTTGATATGTGGGTTTCGAATTTTGATTGCTGATCTATGTTCTTCATGGTGACCCATTCCCCTTCCTTTGTCTACTCTCTTCACCACCACAAACCACCCGGTCACCATCAACACTAAACTTTAGATCATGGAGAAAGAGAGCCAAAGTTCAAGAAGCACGAGGAAGAGAACCAACGGAATCAGATGGGAGATTGAAAGACAAAAAACAACAGGTTGTTAAATAGCAACCAGCAATTAGAACTGAAGCCATTGAATGTGAGGTTAGAGTAGAGATCAGAAGGATGAGAGAACTATTTTCACCCCACCATTTCTGAAAGATGAGATTGGTTCTTATGCTTGAACTGCAGGATTAGAAGTTCACAACATATACCCGAACGGATACGCGTGTTAGTATGAAAATAATAATTATTATTATTATAATATATATAATAATAATATATTTATACCATAAGAACGCAAAACAGCAGAAGCATATTCCATCAAAACGTCTTCGATGCTTGCCGTTTTGGGCCAGCTAAGCCCATTAAGATTACCTTAGAAGCGCTATTAATAATAGGTAATAATTATTATTATTATAAATTTATAATATATAATAATAATAATATATTTATACCATAAGAACGCAAAACAGCATAAGCATATTCCATCAAAACGTCTTCGATGATTGCCGTTTTGGGCCAGCTAAGCCCATTAAGGTTACCTTAGAAGCGCTATTAATATTAAGTGATTCTCACCCTGCTACGCGGGGTATTGATGATTCAATTGGGCAACTTATTTTAAGTATAAATAGGATGCTAAATTGTTAATCATTCAAATATAGATCTCATCGAAGATATAAACATGGTAAGTATTCCACTATCCATCGTTGCTTGGAATTCCCCTACTGTCAGATTACTTGTGGATGTTGTTGCAGGTTCCATGGAAATGTTAAGTAGTTAGTTAAACTTCTTTAGCACAACAATTGATTTGTAGCAGTTCTGTGGATCAAGCTACTGTTT